ATAACCCTTAGGGTTGAGTCTGGAATATCTAAGGCCCTTTTATTATTTTTCCCCGTATTTGGTAATTTAAGATAAAGGAAAGAAATCTAGATGGTCTCAAAGCTCTAACCCATCAAAACAAGACATTTATAAACAAGTTGGGAGTGCCCCAAGACAAAAAGATGAATGTGGCTGGCCTGCAGTCTTTCCGAGAAGCCATTGACAATGACACTGGGACTGGTTTCCTCTGCATATACTGGATTTTTGGGATCCAGTCTGTTTGGATGCTCACCTTCCTGGACCTGGAGTGAGGGGGGAGGAACTTGGACTTCCCACAGGGCAGGAGACCCTGACTTCCCTAGGGGACAAAGAGGGAGGAGGAGAGGGAGGGGGGGAGTGGGAGGGTGTTGGGAGGAGGGGCGTAAATGGAAACTTTTTATAATTTAATAAAATTACAAAAAAAAAAAAGATTTATGTCACAAATCTATCTCCTGTTGGTCATCATCTGAGCTTCTATTTTTCCTTTCATGTAGGCCTGGGGTACTACTTTTCAATCAGTGACTTTCGCTGGTCAGCCCTGGCATGCATGTCTCAGAGGGAAGGCAACTGACCTCAGGTATACGGAGCCCTCCTCATACTTCAAACCTGCATTGTCCCAAACAGAGACGGAACGAACAGGGTTGTTGGCAATGTGAGAAGAGGTAATAGTAGAGGCAGGAGCAGCGTATCTCCTTTCTGTGAAGACACTCAAGATTGTGCCATCTAGAGGAAGGACTCACAGGCCAACAGCAGCTGGAAGGCAAGTGTCTTTTCATAGGACTGTTCCCAGCACCCAAGGCCAGTCAGGCTCCTGAGATCCTGTCCTATGCATGTTCCAGTTTGATTTCTGCTGCTCTGATAAAAGGTATCTTGACGAAAGCAACATGGAGAAGAAAGGGATGCGTTTGCCTTACACTTCCAAGTTATGATCCATCACTGAGGGAAGAGCTAGGCCAGGAACTCAAGGGGGAGCTGGAAGCTTGGAGGAATGCCTGCTGGCTTACTCCTCTTGTGCTCAGTTAGTGTGCTTACATGACCCAGGACCACCTGCCTAGGAAAGGTACCATCCACCATGGGCTGGGCCGTCCTGCCTCAATTAATAATCAAGACAATGCCCCTCCCAGACAAATCTGATCTAGGCAATTCGTAGGTCCAGTCTCCCCTCTCAGATGATTAACTCTAGGCTGACTCGCATTACGACAAGGAACTAACTTCATTCTGACTTTTCCTTTCGATCAAAGCGAAATGCCCCTCATAAGAAGAAAGGTGGTTCACTCTTTCTCAACCAGTTAAAAATGGGCACAACATTACAACCACACTAAAGACCTCACGTGGATCTGTACTAATTATGCCAAAGACCCCAAACATTAAATATCTCTGCAACACTCAGGCTCAGAACAATAAGGGGTTCCCTACTGAAAGATTAGCAGGAACCTTTTGCACTGCATGTTGCCAAGTAGCAGAGTGTCTAAGGTACTTGGCCACGCTGCTAGGGGAGGTGAGCCTGGGACTTGGGTGCTAGCTAGAAACAAGACTTGGGTAACAGATTTGAAGTCACCTGACAGAGAGGCACAGTTGACGCATACATTCATTCTCACTTGTCATTCTGCCCCAAGTTCTACAAATCAACATTCCCATCCAGGGGCAACCTGGCTGGCCAAGTAATGTGAACAAGAACAGAGCATCCTCTCTTCCATGATGTGACTGCCCAATTCCTGCCAGTTCTTTTGGGGAAGATGGTAAACAGACTAGCATCTTGAAAGGGCATGGGAGACAACCTGGAAAAGTGACTAGAAGCTGTCAAGAGTGGCCCAGTCACTTAAAGAAGAGGAGACAACGGGTTCTCATGCCCACTTCATAAACCCAAGGGGCTGGTGAGACCTAAGCATTCCCAGTAGGATCAAAAGGGTGGTAATGGAGCCTTGGCCTCAGTCAGGTAGGATGAGAGCTGGCCGTTCTTTCCTGGTCACTTTGCTCTCCTGGCTAAGATGAGGTCCAGTGAATGGGTGAGGTCCAGAGGCAGAAAGAAATGGCTAGGGAAAGTGTCTACAATGCAGAGTCTCGCAACAGCTATGTCTCCTGATGGATACAACAAAGCATCCAGAGAAACTGTGCTTGTGATGATGGTGGCCTTCTTTGCTAAGAGTGTGCTTGGGCGGGTGGCACTGAGCACTAAGAGGATTCCTGGGGTCTCTTGTGTACTGTGGGATGATCAGACTGTCTCTGAAGTACTACATCCTCAATGGTACCATCATTCCAGCCTCCACAGAATGAATATCCACTGGCTGAGAATGATGTGATCCCCAGCCCCAGGAAGGGAGTAACACTTCATGGAAGGAGTTAGGGAGGAGGAGAAAGGACAGAAACTCAGCTATGCACGGGAGAGCAGGAAGGCTTGTTTCTTCCTCTACTTTCTCCCTTTTTTACAACCATAAACGGGTTCTAAAAAAAAACTGCTATGCTAATAGTCCTACTCAGAAATTCAAGCCATGGTCTAAGATCGGAGCACCCCTGATCACAGTGTTGAAATAAGATGAACTTGAATTTGATGAAGCATGGACTAGAGCTCATTCCTAAGCTGGCCAATGTCTACAGTGATTAACAGAGAAAGAATACATAAACCCTGGAGAGGGATGGAGCACAACTCTGTATTATTCAGAGAAAAAAAGAAAAACACAGAGCCATCCAGTAGCTTGGGAGCGAAAGGCCACACTATTCTCATGCCCACTTCATAAACACGGGCACGAAAGGCATGCCTTTCTACAAGCTCCAGCTCAGCAGCCAAACCAGATCTCTGCACACAGCTTACCAACATCACCAACAGAACTACCCTCAGTGGACAAAATTCAGGAATTACTGACTGTCTCTGTTGCTACTCAATATGCATCCTGGCAGGACTGCTCAAAGTCACCTTCTCAATTTCCAGAAAGGGAAGTCCTTCCAGTCCACACGTCATTACTTCCTGGCCCACATTCTCCATACTCTCAGAGAGGCCAGCACGGGATAGACCACCAGATAAAGAAGCCCCTTCCCAAGCGAAACCACATAAGAACTTAGCTTCTTGCCCCTCTCGAGCAGTCTGCCTGCTATGCCCCTTGGTAAATACATGACCATGGTGCCTGTGGCCATGATGCAGCACCTAAGGGCAGTGACGGTAAGAGAGTGCAGTGCCTGCCGGGTCTGCCCTGTGGAGACATGGGCACTTGGAAGCTGTTGATACCTGGTCTAGGCAAGCCCAAGACAACGCCAAAGGGAGGGGCCTAGGCAAGGGATGGGAAAAACCTGTGCCACCCATACAGAAACCTGAATATTTAAGACCTCCTGGAGTACAAAGGGCAAGGCAGGAAAGGCAGGTGGGCAGAAACTACACTGGGTCCACTTAGGAAATAGAATTTATGCCCAGAACCAAGCATCCCTGGCAATCTGTGCAAACCTGAGTGCTGTTGCCTACTGTCGATGGCGATGTGAGAGAGCTGTACCACATCTGCCAAGGAGTGGCTGGCATCCAGAGCCCTTATTTTAAAGAGAAGCAAAGATCCTGTGTGGCTTTAAAATGGCCGCCATAACAAGATTTTCCATGTCCTCTTTAAAACTCAGGACTCTGGAAGAATTTGCTCTCTCTTTCAAAATTCTTTGTACAGCGACCTGTAATGTCAGGGGTGGATGGTGTAGCTACCAGGTGACAAGCCAGAGAAAGTCACCGTGGTATATAAAGAAGTCAATCAGGCAGGCCCAGGGAAGCTAGAAGGCAAAACTGGGGACCAGGAGAAACTGAGGAAGGCAACAAGAGACGAGGCAGAAAGCCGAAAGGAAGAGAGACTTGTTAGGCCAAGTCATGTCCACCATCAGTACTTCAGGCATGAGGTGTACACAGCATACAGAAAGACATACCCTTCTTGCTCCCTCTTGTGCTTGCATTTACACACAAGGACCACCAAGCCATTAGGTTCCCTGGGCAGAACTGTGGTTCCACTGAAGCAAGACCCTGCCCTGATGAGAAGGGCACAGCGGCCACTCCACGCTACCCATTACAATGGTTACACCCCATACCCACAGCAGCCTCTCCTAAGTCAGGCAGTGGCTGGGCATCTCTCTGGTCCTAGTAAGGGACACTCCATAAAGTAGGCTCTCCTGCTACGAAGAAAAGAAGGGAAGATGGATACTAGATGCCTCCTGTGTCTTACACTGACATTGAGAATTCAAACTCATTTAAATGCACTATTTCCAAGTCTCTTGCTAAAAGTCACCAGACCCACAGGTTATAAAACAGGTTGAGGATATGCCCAGCACCCCTGGCCTCCTAAGTTTGGTTATGGGTCAGCTTAGCCTTACATCATACTCTTTTACTAAAGGAGGAAAGATGTTTGGGGCAAGAAATAGAAACGTTTAAAAATTCCAAAGTGAGGAGCCTGGCTTGATGGCTTGTAGCATCCTCCACCTCCGAGAGTTCATCTCACTTTGTCTAAAAAGGCACGCATTGCTGGCCATCTCACTGTCTCCTTCAGCTGACTCACACCCAAGGACTTCAGACATACTCGGTGATGGATGAGGACATCACTTAACCCTAGACCAACTCCAGGACGAAATTCAAGCACAGATCTATGTATAACCTAGTACTGTGTGGAAGAAGCCAGACACAAGAGAGAAGGCATGAGCGTCTGGGCCACAGCTAGCAAACCCAATTAGGGCTAATGGCCAATAAACAAATGGAGACTTTCACAGATGGAGGACCAGGGCTGAGCTTTTGAAGGGCCACTTTCCTGATGGGGTACCGGCTCCAAGTGAGAATCCACTGAGTTCTTTGTATACAATGTACACGCTTTTCAGTGTTAGCCATCAACCCAAAGCCCTTGACACCTCTGTACTGTGGTGAGCTGACAGGTGGGCTCCCCTGCCCTCTAGCCCTTTGCCATACCCTGCCTGGGTTTGCAACTCCAGAACGGGGCCCAAGAGCACTCCAGACGGCCCAGGCTCACACTTACCGGCTGCAGGCCGTCTTCTTGTCTCTGGCTCTGGTTGGGACGATTGATGAAGGAACGTGTGGAGACTTTGTAGTGGTTCAGTAGGCAGACGACCACCACCACCATCACAGTGACCACCACGACGATGATGAGGACCTGGGCGAACTCCAGCTCCGCTGCAAGGAAGAAGGAGGACGGTGAGCGAAGGCCCCGGCATGCGCGTTCTTTCCTGGCTCTACATCCAGCAGCTGCAGGCAGTTATGACCCCTCCGATCCGGTCCTCAGAGGGGACACAGAAACCATGACCACACTTAGAAGAAACAAATGCCTGCATAAAGCAGATGTGTGGCTGGGTCAGGGTGACACCTGAGCTCTGCCTGCAGATGACTATGGGTCAGTCATTTGTTGGACCTTGGTATTGTAACATTTTGGACAAATGGAGGTTCTGAGAATGCCTTGTCCCATAGATCTCTGTTGCTCTGCTTTGCAAAGTTCTAGGATCTGGTCTTCAAACTTAAAGCCTTACAAAAATCTTCTGCTGGCCCTACAAGGCCTACAGAGTTTTGGCTACAACTTTCCTCACTGACAGGATGGAATTCAAGGTCAGCCCAGTGAGCTCACCAAAGGCAGATGCAAAATGGGCACCTGTGTACGTTGGGCCAACATCAGGCCAGCTCAGACTGTCAGCTCAACTCCTGTCCTGTCAGGTGACCGTCTACCTCTTCATTCCAGCAGAGTTGAGGAATTCTCTCTGAACTGAAGCTGCACCTACGCAACCTCTCTTGAAAACAAACCCACCTCTCTGGTTGAGTAAAATTTTTCAGAGCTCAACTCACAGGAGCTGGGCATTGAAGGAAAAATAAATAATAAGAGAGTAGCTTCAAGTGTCTGGTCCTGGGAGGATTTGCCTTTGTAAGTGGCTTAGACAGCATTTCCCCATTCTGCAGGCACAGCGTCTGAGCGGTAAGACCAAGGTAGGCCTCCAACACTAACATTACAAATGATACCCCACAGTCATTAATATGCCCTGCACACACATGTCTGGATTCCCTCCCCTCCCTGCTCCAGCATTCCTGACCCGAGATGAAGCTGAGTGTGCACCCAGTGTTTCTCACGAAACTATGGTTGAAAGTCTGTTGTGGCTGACACTGCATCCTCAGTAATTAGCACACGGTGGTGCCTGACAGGTAGTTAAGAGGCCCCACCAATAAGGAGAGCAAGAGTGACTCAGGAACCTACTCAGGCACAGAGAAGAAGCTCATACACGCAGCTCCTAGTGGGCCTTCCCTGAGGCAGCAATTGCTGGCAAGCCAGGCCAATGCAGGCTGCAGAGGACGATGCAGGCCTGCAGAGCCCCTGGGGTCTATGCTATGAGGCCAGGCGCAAATCCAAGGGCAGATATCTCGTACAGAACATGACGGAGGGAGGCAGTTCTACTCAGGCCAAAGGAAAGGAGCTTAGAAGTGAAGGCTGAATCTTAAATCATGCTCTGTTGGGCCAACTTTTTACTTTTACAAAGAAGCAACAGAGTTGCCACAAGCTGCCCTCCAGGTTAAAACATGCTCTAGCATTTACCAGAGTTCCCTTTTGCCGAAGACAGACACAGAGGGAAAAGGAAACAATGACATGGACCAACAAGGACATGGACCATTGGTTAACCCTTCACTAGACAGCTCTCCCTAAATGAACTTTCCCTGGATGTGAAAGGCTGTGGGGATGCAGCAAAGAAAATTATTTTTTCACAATCCCATAGGCATTTCAGTATAAAAGAATTATACCTGAACAGAACTTTATTATAGAACTTTTTAAAAAATTAAAGGTTATAGAAGAAAACAGTCAAATTCTGCTGAAGCCCTGCAGCTCCCCCGACTGTACCCATCCCATGTCATTCTGGAGGAAGTGGAGGCACTGGCATGCATGCCTACTAAATGCCTCATCCTCCTTTTAATTATGACAAAAATATTGGGGGGGGCAAGGTGAGGGAGGGAGGAAGGGAAGAAGGGAAAGAGGGAGAGAGAAACTGAATATATGTGGGTGCTAACACAAATCTGTCAGTAGACCATCAAGAGACATTTATTAAAAGTAAGATATTATTTCAAAAGGATAACCAGGCCTGAAGCAGTGATCACTGAGGGAACAGGCCCAAGCCAGAGACCTCTACAGGAGTGGGCCCAAGCCAGGGACATCTGTGGGAACAAGCCTGAGCCAGTGACCTCTGCTGGAGCAGGCCCGAGGCAGCGATCTCCACAGGAGCAGGTACAAGGGAGCTGAGCTGTCCTGAGCCAGAGACCTTGTCTCTCATTTCTGTAAATTCCTCTGTGAGATTCTCTACAGACAATATTTCTCATGGCATAAATGATTCATTTCTTTCTTCATGGCTACACTAATATTTCAAAAACATTTTTTCCTCTAAGAACTTTTATTTTGTTCTTTCATATTTCGATCTCTGTGTTGTATTTTATATTTTGGGTATAGACAGCATAGGGCATTCTGAATGAAATGATCTAATACGTTACTTAAAAATCCAAGCAAGGGTGAGCAAGATCCCCATTGCATAAACAGTGTATATACATGCTCCCTTAAAAGAAAGAGTCCCCACTACTCTCGTCCTTTTCCTGAGGACTGGTGCTTCTGAGCCTCCATCCTAAGCTCTCCTGTAAACCTGCCATGTGTACCCACCGGAGCGCATGGCCCTTGCTGAGCTGTCTGCAGCTATACAACTGCACTGCAGCTTCAAGCAGAGGAACAGAGCCCTGGCAGGGACATGGAGGGCTCAGAAGCTGCCCAGCAATGTTAGGGGTCCACAGGTGACAGAGAATCAGGAAGCTAAGACGTGTGTCAGGGTGAGGCAACAGGTTGGCTCAAGGGCTTTGGACGTATAAATAGGGTCCCTAGAGGTGGGGCACTGGGCAAGGAAATCGGCCTTATAGTAATAGCCAGTGGGCCCCTGGGGCAACAGTAGGCTTGAGTCATTCAGCCCAGGCATGAGAGGCAGCTCTCTGAGCAAACAAGAATGAAATCCAGGGTATCCAATCCCTAAGGCCAGAATCTTCGCAAGTTATGGCTAGCAGCAGCACACGCCGGGATCCCTGTGTTGCTGTTTGAAGGCCCACCCCGTGGGGCCTTCATTGGGTGTGGTACCCAGAGTAGAACACCACAGCCTACAGGGCTAGGGCAGGACAGATGGCTCAGCAAAAGTCTGACTATCTGAGTTTGATCCCTGGAGGAGAGAAATGACCTCCCCTCCTGCATAGCTGTCTTCTGACTTACATATGTGTGTTGTGGCAGATACATGCTGACATAGACATTCACATCATACATATGCATGCACACGGTAACATCAGATTAAAATATTTTAAAGTCTAGCTACTCTTTGAACTTGGGGCAGAACAGTCAATGAGGACAGATCATTTTCTCATTTAAGTTTTAAGAGATAAAAAGCCAAAAGTGGGAAAATAGAAAGAGTAAAAACATCCAGCTCTGGGGGATTCTCAAAGTAAAAGCCATTAAACAGAGGGTGATCCTCAGGGACGAGCAGATCTCAGGGTCCTGCTCTATGGAAAGCCCTCCCCTCCCCCCATGTCTGTCCTTCTATTTATTTTAATCAGGAGACTCTGCCCCAAATCTGCACAGCTTGTTTTCACGTGGTGGGGGATGGAGAACGTGCGATGGTCCAGGGAGCCTGGGGGACACGTGAAGGAAAGACGCTTTAGTTTTGCTTTAGAGGGGTAGGTTAGGAAAGGGACACTAGGAAGAGAATGAATTTGGAAAGAAATATTAAGATGGGAATACTTTTTAAGCCCACAGGAACAACAGCATTTAAAAGGGTAATTGGATGCTTTTGAGGTTTCCGAATCTTCATGTAAATCACTATGGATTCTGAACACAGCCCACTGGTCAGGTTTCCTTCATTTCAGTAGTTACGAATATCAACAGAAGTAAGGCAAAAAGCAGCCACGCAAGTAAAGGACTTGAGGCTAAACAGCATTTCTGAGCTCCTGTTCCTTTTATGAGGCTGAAATCTAAGGTGCAATGGATGAGTCATTGCCAGTCACACACCAGAAATTTTACAATAAATTTCAAACTTACAGGAAGGGATCACAGTGCCTTGCTTTATTATTGTAAACGGCGACAATAACGGCAGTGATGATGGCATCTCTGTCTTTATAGAAACATCTCCAAGAAATTCTGAGCTGTATTGTGGGGAACCGCAGGACCAGAACTGTGTGGAGCAGGCTGGTCCATCCCTTGGTCCAATGAGGACCTGAACTGAATCCTCCAGGAGGCATGAATGCCTGAACTATTTTTAATGAACTCTGGGGAGATGTGTTTGTACCACCCTTGGCTTCCTAATATAACACCCACTTCTATTTGTGGGGTGGCTAGCACCATCTTCCATTCGGTCTTTCCTCCACGAATACATCCTCATCTGCAGCAGTCGAGGTTTCTAAATGTTTAATTAGTTTTACGTTCCAGATGTGTGATGTGTTCCCTGACTGAAAACCTCTAACAGAGGAAAATGGCGTGGGCCCCATGAGCCCTTCCTTTCACCAACAAAATAAACACTGTGACCGCCTGTGGGGGAGCCGCCATGTAGAACACTTATGTCATCCCCAGGACCAGCGGCTCCTTGCAGACCTCTGAGTGATTCACCTCCTGCTTGTACCAACGGAAACCCCTCTACCTCATCCCCCTTCACGCTACAGGCTGGGAAGACAAAGAATGGAAGAATATGACCAGCCTGCCACAGAATCCCACCCTCTAGAGAGTCCCCTCCCTGCAAACCCTTCCTACTCCCCACCACTGCTGAGGCAGCAAGGCCGACTTTGTGACACTGGGTTGGTCTGGTTTGGCTTCTCCACACTGAACTTGTGTCTGTGTTTCCTTCCTGTCTCTGGCCTGGCTCGGCAGAAACAGGTGTCGTGAAAAGATGACAGCCATGGGGTGGGTGATTTCTTTATTTATGGGTCTATGACACTTTTAAATTGCTGAATGTTCCTATAGTCTGGTAGATTCTTTCCCAAATCCTTAGCGGTACCAGGGAGATGGATGGGGGAAGGAACTGGGATCCACTTAGCCTATAATTGTCTTGAGCTGGAGAACTATTGGTATAAAAATACTCTTGGAGATTTTAATGGTTGAATGAAAATTCACACTCATTAAACTCCATAGTTAA